TAAAGGTTCCTCTTATATCCACCTGCTATTTGCTTTTAGCGCATAAAGTTTACATGAAATGCTTTATTGTCTTGGGCCCTTGGACATGAGTATCTGTAAGAAAGTATTTTCCAGATTGCCTCATCCCTTCCAATTTTCTGAGTGATGAAAGACATGTCTGGAATGGATAATGCCTTGGAGAGGCGCATATGATGGACAGGGTTGAAGTAACCAGCAAATGTTGGCTGTAACCCAAAATGGGTGAGGATATTTATTCTCTCATACCACTCTTTTTCTTCTTTCTGCTATCTGAAGTGGCAGATCTTTTACAGAAGGGTTCTGAAATTAATACTTAGGCCCATATGTTACTCTAGGGTTGTGGGCTGATCATCTATGCATTCAAGGACAAGGATTGGAGGTGCTGGACAATAGACTCTGTGTATATTACTTTGGCCTACATTCCTTTGATTGGTATGAAATTATTTTTCATAGAATAGCCAACATATTAATAAATAATAGCTAAAGCTGCTGCAACGTGCCAAATATAATGTAGTATTAAATTTATGATTTGGTGTGTCATCTGCAACTATCTGCCCAGCATGCTTATATGCTTTAGAATTGCCCCTTCTGGATCCAGAGGGTGCGTCAAAGAACTAAGATATGGCCTTTAAATAAACTGAAGAAGCTTCTTGGATGAGAAGCAAAACACTTTCAAAGAAAAAAAAAATCCAAGAAAGTCCAATTGCCTTTTGAAAAAAGCATCTTTGAATCAATCGTGACCTGGATGATTGAGACTCTCCATAAACCTTGAAATGTACGTGCTTTTTTCTGGTGTAAAATGTGTCATTTGTGGGTCCCATTCCTTTTGGTGCAGTGGTTTAAAGGCAGTTGGATGGGAGGTTTTCCATTTTTCTCTTTATCAAGGGGAAAAAAAGGAGGGAATCAATGTATAAATAGGACTTAGCAATTATCTGAGGAAGATTTGTTCTGCCTTGGAAGTACACGCTTAGTATTTTATCAGGAGATAATCTTATTATCTTATCCTATTGTTTCTCCAAAGCATTCACAATGCCATACGTGGTTTCCCAATCCATATCTTATCTTCACAATATCCCTGTGTTAGGTATTAGTAAGGGAGATAATGATTGGCCTAAGATCATCCAGTGAGCTTTGCAAGATGGTGGGATTTCCCAAGGTCTATGTAATCTAGCTCTCAGTTACTTTCTTAGCCTTAGTCCACTGAGTCATGTTTCATAGTGAAATCGTGTGTATGCTCTTTTTGCTGGCATATTTAATTGTTCTCATCTGACAGAGGGTTTAAATAAGAGGCTCTCCCATAGTTTTGTCAGGTTCTAGCAATCAGCCATGCTTTTTCAACTTGAAGCCCTCTTTGCTGGCTGGAAATTCTTGGAAATGTATCCAGACAACCCCTGATGGAGAGGTTTTATGTATTTAACCTCTCTTTTGTTTGGACAATAGAATTGATTCCAGGTCCGCCTCAAGCAAAATTCCCCACTTCTAATTTTCTGGTTTTAAATTGCTATGTTTGCATAAATATTAGAATAGCAGCAAAGGGTGTTGTGTTTGGTAATTAGCAACTTAGCTGAATCTCTTTATAGGAGCTACTGGAAAAATGGCAGGGTTGGGATCTAGAAAACGGGAGCTTTTAGCTAAGACTTTGTTCTGAGTTTTTACTGCCACCAGCAACTATATAAAAGAGAGGCATCGGTAAAGCAAAGTAGCTTGTTGGCAAGTCTCTCCCCCCCCCCATCTGCATTTTTCTCTGCAGTTCTCTTTCCCCCAACTCTGAGTTTGCAGATAGCATCCCAGGGCTGCCAGTAGCTGGTAATCTGAATATAAAACATATATTTGGAAGTTGAAAAAGAGAGATACAAGCCTTGCTTTCTCCCCTTCCAGCCACTTCTCTTATTCCCTATTCCTTATTCCCAACATTTGTACTTCTAGAGTACTAATCTTGCTATTACCTGCACCTTCTGAATGCCCAGTATAGGCTTGAATGGGCAGCTCTAATTATTTAAGGCTGTCACGAGGCAACAGGAGACTCCTGTTTACTCTGTTAAAAGTCTATAGCAGTGCCAAGAGTTTGCTATTCACTTTCAGTGAAGATGTCTTAGCCAATGATAAAAGAAAGACAATGGCAACTTTCTTTTCTGCTCAACATATTGCATATTCTCCTGCTGGGGAATTCTTTCTTTCAATCTCTTTGTGTAATTAGGCTATCTTCTCCGTACAGTACCGTATACCGTAGTGGTATGCCAAAAAGAGAAGGAGGGGGAGCCAAGCATCCCCTCCAATGGATGCAAACATTCCTCATAAGCAAGAAACACTGCAAACTCCTCCTACTTTTGCAGCAGGACTCGGTGCTTAAAAATGAATTATGTGTGTCCTCTAGAAATTTGATTACAGCAGGAAGACGCTAGTGCATAGGCTTTGTACGTGGGGCAACAGTAAGCAACAGACCATGTCAACTAATATTGACTTGATATTAGAAACGTCAATATAGTATTAATGTGTGCTGGCATTGTGTGAACATCCACTCTCCTTTTATCTTGACTCTGATGTTTGTATATAGACAACTTCCATGCCAGAGCTGCATATTTCTTCAAAGTCAACCCCAGAGTTTCTCTGCAAATTGCCACCAAATTATAATTTCTAATATAATAGTAGAGAATAGCTAGATAATAATCACATTTAATTTTAATTATTTAACAAGCCAATGCATGTTGTGAAAAGAGCTTTTGGAAGCATTGCAAGGGAAGGATAGAATAAGTTGTCAGACTGGTTAGGAAAGAGCCTGCTCCAATGCCAAATCTCAATTTTATGTCAGTAATCCTCCTGGCGTACTTTATCAATTCTGAAGCATGTCATTGGTGGTTCATTCATTTTCGATCTGATTCATTGACAGTAGGGAGAAATGTACCCTGGTCAAAAACTCAGTTGCTAAAGAAGTCATGATCCTTGGCACTCTTAGCTGACTGAAATGCCTTAAGTGGCTTCAAGAGGAAGGAAGAACTGAAGAGACTGCATAAGGGGAGACCTCTTCAAGGAGGTCAGGTGATGCAATAATGTCTTTTTCGACAAAGACTATCCTCTTCATCCAGTCATTTCAAATTTGATAATGTGGAGTTGTAATTTTTAAATGACCAGAGAGTGCTGTAATGGCTTGCCTAATAGTCAATTTCTTTCTTTCATTTTCTCGGCTGTGCAAAGTTTGAAGAGGTATAGCTGTGTCATAAAAGAACACGACCCTCTCTGTTCTCTAAAGAGCAAAGTGAGAGTTTCCTATAGTTCTGATGTGGTTTTTTCCCCCCCTAGCTCTGGGTATAAGGTGATGATCTTGGCTGAGCCAAAGAAAAACAGTAGGAGTGATTCCACGGCATGGAGTATCATATTGGGGCAAAGCATGGCCACTTCACACATTCAATAATGCAGTTAGTTAGTTAGTTAGTTAGTTAGTTAGTTAGTTAGTTAGTTAGTTAGTTAGTTAGTTAGTTTCATTCTTTACTTTTATATAATTGGCTTAGATGAGTTTTGTTGTTGGGCAGACTGAAAACATAACCATGGGAGATGACAATGACCAACCATAAAAGCCCTGGGAAAAATAAATTATTTTTTGGGACTAGATGAATCAGGGCAGGACTTGGAAGAGTGTATGTTGACTCAGATGCTTTACCTAATGTAATATAAGAACTGCTTTCTTAAGACACCTAGACAATCTAACTACTGTGTGATTTTCAATCTATTCTCTGTGCTTAATACTGAATAGTCAGCAAAAAAACCTAACAAGATGGCTTTTAGATAGATGGATTTTCTAATTACAACTAGTGATGCTGTCAAAGCTGAATCTCTAGACGGGGATTCATAGCCACACTGTCTAGAGCAAGGGTAGTCAACCTTGGCTCTTTTATGACTCGTGGACTTCAACTCCCAGAATTCCTGAGCCAGCTAAGCTGGCTCAGGAATTCTGGGAATTGAAGTCCACGAGTCATAAAAGAACCAAGGTTGACTACCCCTGGTCTAGAGGATGCTACAAGTGGTGCTGCCCTTTTTTAAAAAAAAAAGTACAATTGAAATGTTTTTGTCTAATAAAAGGGGAAGGAAGAGATCAAACAGGGAATGTGCAAAAGAGGGGGAGGTAAGAAACAAGAAGTGGAGGGGAGAGAAATTGAATGGTTCACCAGGAAGTATTTTTCCTGTGAAGTGAAGGAAATCTTATTTCACGTTCTATGCAACATTTTCCCAGGCAAGGTTTGTATTGGATTGCAGTCTGTTGCATAATTAAGATACCATTTCAGACAGTTGCAGTCAGGACCAGTGCTATAATTAGGAACAGCCTGACAGCACTTTTGGGGTGTTTTGAAAGGACACAAAATGGAGGGGTTATGAATTTATATTAATGCATTATTATTACCAGAAATGAGAAATCCTTGTGGCATTGCTTCTCTCTTATGCTCAACTAATTTAACAGGCCTTGAATTCTATTCAGATGACTCTGGATTGTGGCAGGGTGGAAGAGAAGAGGCTAGCATCATCAAATACTGTACTTCAGGCAATTCCTACCCTAATTCTGTCCTTCCCCTTAATATGTAATAACTTGCTCAAGTTCTTCAGTCCTACGTGATCATATGAAATGATCTTAGCTTTTTTGGGGCAGAGTGCCAATGTATTTGATAGGGAAAGTCCTTTATAATAGTGACCTCACCTGTTTGATATTATCTCCTTTGCCTCGAGGATCTGATTGCTCTCTATTTAAAGTGAGAGTTTCCTGTTTCTACTTTGTTACAACATGAGATTTGGGAAGTTAAGCCTACTGGCTAACATTGTCTTTTACTTGTTTTTAAAGGTCCTGACCCCAGAGCCTGAAGATGCTAAAATGCATCCAGCTTGGAGACATCTTTAAAGAGCCGTACTCTAAAGAGTGTGGTGTGGGCTCCCCCTTGTGGGAAACAACTGGAACAAAAGTTTCTTGATGTTACAGTGCATCTTTTTCAAATTAAGTCATGGCTATTGTCAGCACAGCACCCCCTAGTTTCTTTTTCTTTCCGGAGAATGAAGCCGTGGACCCAGTGATAGTACTTCATTACAATTATACTGGAAAGCTTAGCCGTGGAAAAGAAAAAAAACTGACCATCATTGCACTTCTCATTATCTGTGGCTTTATCATCCTGGAGAACCTAATGGTGCTGATTGCCATCTGGAAGAACAACAGATTTCACAACCGCATGTATTTTTTTATTGGCAACCTGGCCCTCTGTGACCTGTTGGCGGGAATAGTCTACAAAGTGAACATTTTGATGTCAGGAAACAAGACCTTGACTTTGTCTTCCAGGATCTGGTTTGTTCGGGAAGGCAGCATGTTTGTGGCGCTGGGTGCTTCTACATTCAGCTTGTTGGCTATTGCCATCGAACGGCATTTGACCATGATCAAAATGAGGCCATACGATGCAAATAAAAAGTACAGAGTTTTCCTGCTTATTGGAACGTGCTGGCTTATCTCTCTTTCTCTGGGAGCTTTGCCCATCCTTGGTTGGAATTGTATTGGCAATTTAAGAGACTGTTCCACCATTTTACCACTATACTCCAAGAAATATGTGGCGTTTTGCACCATTATCTTCATAGCCATCCTAGTGGCCATTGTAATCCTCTATGCCCGCATTTACATCCTGGTGAAATCAAGCAGTCGGAATGTCACCAATCACAACAACTCGGAGAGGTCCATGGCATTGCTGAGGACTGTTGTGATCGTTGTTGGGGTTTTCATTGCCTGCTGGTCCCCCCTGTTTATTTTGTTGCTGATTGACGTGGCCTGCAGAGTGAAAGAGTGCTCGATTTTGTATCAAGAAGATGGCTTCATAGCTTTGGCGGTCCTCAATTCAGCCATGAACCCCGTCATCTATACTCTGGCAAGCAAAGACATGCGCCGAGCCTTCTTTCGCCTGGTGTGTGGTTGCCTGGTGAAGAACAATGTTGCCATGTCTTTGCCTATCCAGCCCACCCCGGATCAGAGTCGAAGCAAATCCAGCAGCAGCAACACACCGAAACTGAATGATAACTTTGTGCAAACCAAAAGTTTGTCGTGCATCACTGAAAAGAATAAACCTCCATTTTATAATGGAAACGTCTGCAAGTGAAGCCTGCTGAGGGGGCACTTGGAGGATTCTTGTCCTGTGGCTTTTACGGAGCCAACGAGAAAGGGTGTCTTTTTTTTTTTTTTAGTGGAGTTTCATGCACTTAACTCATAGGAGGGGCAAACTTGAGATGGCTGCTTAATTCTAAGTGCCTATTTTGAGCACTGAGTTTTGGTTCTTCACCAACTGATTCAGGAAAAGTTTGGCTGCCTCTGCAAGCTCTCTTGAGGGTTGTGTAAAGAAAAAAGTGCTATCCTGATATGGGGTTTCTTTGATGCAGTTCAATTGAAAAAGTGTACTTGCTAGAGCAGTGGTTCTCAACCTGTGGGTCGGGACCCCATTTGGGGTCGATCGACCATTTCACGGGGGTCGCCAAGCAAGGCTGTCTGCCATTTTTTTTGTCCGCCATTTTTTTTGTCCGCCATTTTTTCCCCCTTTTCCAGCGGGTGCCTTACCTCCCTTGGGCTGGGCCAGCTGGTGGTCAGCCTGCTCCGTCTCTGCCGCTTGCTAGCTACGCCTCGGCCGGTGCAGGGGGCGGAACCATGCATGCGTGGCGCTCCCGGGCAGGGAAAGTCCTTGACGTACGACCGGTTGGGTAGTCCTCGACTTACGACTGGTTTAGTCCTCGACTTACGACCAGTTTAGTCCTCGACTTACGACCAGTTGGGGTCGCAGCATTAAAAAGGTTGAGAACCACTGTGCTAGAGAAATAATGTATAAGTGGCCACTGATTAAAGCACTACATGAAATTCACTTCTTATATTCCAAAATGCAACTGTGGAAGTCTTTCCCTTATAGGACCCCAGCAGAGTCTTCCTCAGCCCACCTTGCACATATCTGATCTTTCTGACATCCATCTACATTTAGGATTTAAGAATGGGTCAGAACACTTTAGCATCATATGCCTGGCTTCCTCTTTGGTAATAGAAATATCTATAAACGTTCTGTGATGTCCTAGTAATTCAGCAAGCAGTCTGGAGAAAGGGGAGAAAGAATCTCATGGCAATGGCTGGTCAACCTGCTGTATATATGTACAAAATGCCCTTCTCAACGGTTACTGTTCATTGGCCATAGGAGATGAGACTGTCTCTCCTCAGTTTAAGGTGAATAATATAGGGATATTCTATCCAGGCCGCACTGCACTGTTATTGATTTCTGTTAACATTTTCACAAATATTTATTCACATATTTTGAGATTTGTTAGATCAAGAAATCAGAGCTTAAGTTAGAATGTGGTGGTTTATTTTACCAGGCCTGATAAACAGTCACAGATAATAGGAAGGCTCAGCATTTGCTGTGTTGAAGTACACCAATCAAGGCGTCCTAGGGGGAAAAAAGGGGGATTTTAAGCTGAGGTACCAACTTTTGTTTTTCTTTGTATTTGTTTTTATTATGCCTGCTGTGTGGCATAGGTTTACATTATATGGCATTATAATATGCTACTCTGTATAATATAACTCCTTAATGTAATGAGTACTGTGAACATGTAATCTTCAAATATTTTTTAAGTAAATGAAGAAAACATCTTTATGTAAGTTTTGTGAGACAGAAAATAGATGTTCAACTAATCCAACCAGTCTTGCATTTACCAATGCAAATTTCCAATGCAAATGTAGCAGTTGTGACTAGAAGCCATTTCTGTGTTATTCTGTAAAAAAAAAATCATAATCATTGTTTTGTCACTAAAACAGTTTTTTTAATTTAATATAGTTTGATGGTAAAATTAAAACGTGACTTGGAATTTCATCTATATTTCATCTATATATTTTAATGTGGGTTTTGGTTTTTACTATTTGGGAAGAATGTTACAGATTGAGAAATCAGTCTGTATTATTGTTGTTCATAACAGAACTAGATAAATGGTCTTATTGGAAATGATATGATCTTCCCCAATATCATGAGAAGACAAAGCACAGGAAAATTGTGACTGCTTAGACAAAGATATACAAATCATAAATCATATTTCACAGCTGATATTGATTGGTAGTTATATCTAGCTCAAATTGAAATCTTTTCACTACATTGAAATCCTCCTTGTTGGGAGTCTTCCTAGACCAGAGGTAGGAAACCTTGGCTCTTTTATGACTCATGGACTTCAACTCCCAGAATTCCTGAGCCGGCTATGCTGGCTCAGGAATTCTGGGAGTTGAAGTCCATGAGTCATAAAAGAGCCAAGGTTGCCTACCCCTGTGCTTTTCCCATATGATTTATTTGGATGGAAGGGAACAGATAATAAATAGGAAGAAAACCACATTTGATTTACTGAAACAGAAAAAAGTTATTGAACCTTTCCCCCCCCCCCACTATAATGAAAATATATGTAGCATTCTGAGGGTTATTTATTCACAATTTCCCCAGCTAGCTTCTGACCAGCAAAGTCAATGGGGGAACGCGAATTTGCTTAATGGTTGCATGATTCATTTAACAACTGCAGTGATTGCTTAACAACCACGGTAAAAAAAAAAGGTCGTAAAATCAGGTGCCACTCGCTGAATAACCTTGCTTAAGAATGGAAATTTTGTTCTTTTTTTTTAAGCTGAGGATTCCCTGTATATATTATACTCTGCTCGTTTTGGACTTAAGCCTTGTTTTAACAGATCTGGCCTATTTTTGTCAAGGTCATATTTCTTATTCTCTACACTGGTGCAGGTCCCCATGAGCCTTAGACATGTCCTTAAATATATGCCATAATGAATTGCTATTCCACAATCCATCTGTTTGGAACGTGGTTCAAGATCCCAAAACAAACAAACTCACTTGGAATTCCAGCAACAAAGTTTTATTCAAAATAAAGTGTTTACAAAGGCTTGGTGGACTGAAACACACACAGGAGTTCAGCTACACCCCCAAGAGCTGTTTAACACATTTTTATATCCTACCCATGACACAGATTCCCCGCTCCCCTATCGCACTCAACACTACAGATCATGGAAATTGCTTCCACCATGCAAATATTTCATATTGCTTGCTTGCCAAGAGGGAGATCCGAATGCTATTCCTTCCAAACACATCTCTTCTTTACTGTAGATGGGGTTCTTTGGGGAAGATAATTGACAGTTACAGCTACAATTCAAAATGGAAAAACAGGAGACAAGTCCTTCTCTTTCTAAAGGATGACCAAAAAACGAGACAGGAAGGGTGAGAGCAGATAGGACTGTCAAATACATCTTGAAATGCTGGCAAGGAATAGGAGACTGCCTGACTCAGTCCTTTTCCTAAAGCCAAGTGTGTCCACCCATCAATCTGCACAGCCCACAAAATGTCATGAGCAACAGCTATCCTGCAGGAAACGAGCCAAGGCTGCAGAAATAGATGAGATGCAAAACAAAAATCACAGCTGATCTTTTAATGAAGGAGACATCCTTTAGATTTCCAACTTCACATAATAGTAATCTAGCAAATGCCAAGATATCAAAGCCCTGCACAGGTTGGATGTCATCATTACTCAGGATACGTTTACCAAAGGAATCTTTCTCAGTGGTTCCTGTTCCTGAGTACAGATTGGATAATTGTTATCATTTCACGAAGCCTTCCTGAACAGCACTGCTGTACCACAGTGTCCAAGCAGACGGTGACTTTTACAAGAAGATCTTGCTTTATTTATTTACCATTTTGTTAATTAGACTTATAGTTTCCTCTGCATAGAGCCCCCCCCTTTCCCATTTTGTTTCTCCACAATTTCTTTACGTAGACTGAGATATGATAACTGCTATCAAATTACTAAATAAACTCTCATGCTTGAGTTAGACTTGAACCTGGATCTCCCTGGTCCTAGTACAACACCTTAATTACTACTGACTAAAAAGGGTTTAGACCATGGGTTTCCTCCTAATGGTAGAGAATAAACCAGATGTAGGCAACCTTGGCTCTTTTATGACTCGTGGACTTCAACTCCCAGAATTCCTGAGCCAGCTATGCTGGCTCAGGAATTCTGGGAGTTGAAGTCCACGAGTCATAAAAGAGCCAAGGTTGCCTACCCCTGGAATAAGCGATCATAAACTGGCATAAACTATCTGATATCCTCCAGATGTTTGGAACTAATTTCATCATTCTCAGCAAACACGGCCAATGGTCAAGGATACTGGGATCAAAATATACAGATGACACCATGTTGCCTATCTTGTTCTATAACTATATTCCAGGCCAAGTTAAAACTTCAGAATATAAAAACTGCACTGTGCATTTCACAGACTGCATTGCAACTAGCAACTTATCAGTACTAAGTCCAACTTGAAATCGTTATTTGATTGCCAATGCTGAATTTCTGAGAAAGTAATAATTATAAATTAGTACTCCAAGTTTGGTTTGAGTAGTTAGTTTTGGACATGATATTTTTTAATATGATTCTGGCGATTCAAAGGTTTGGAACTGTTCATTTTGAACAGAAAAATACATATTTTGGGAAGTGGGAGAAAAGAGTTGCTGGCTGACAATGATCTTTCAGCTGAAGCAATGTTTCAATAAAATATTAAATCAGATGATTAGAACAGCACCATTCTTTAGAATTATACTTACTTGAAAGATTTGGTATTCTTCATCTTCTATTTTGAAGAAGAGCTCCAGAATTTTTATTAATGAGTTCAGTTTGTGAGCTCTTACCTTCCTATCCCGTTCAAGCAAATGCTTTGTTATCTTAGATCAGGGCTTTTCAACCAGTTGTACGGGTACCACCTGTGGTACATTGGCACCTGGCAGGTGGTACGCGACCATCCTAGAAAAGTGGTAGCGGGGGAGGGGAATGAGCTGAACGGATGGCAGCACCGCACAAGCCTGAACGAGAGATGGCTGGAGCTGCAGGGCTGTCAGGGCTCAGCGGAAGCGCCAGGATCAGCGCCAGGCTCCAGCTGGAGCTCAGCGCTGATCCTGGAGCTTCTGCTGAGCCCAGAAGAAGCGCCGATCAGCTGGAATGTTGCAGCATCTCCAGGGCCTTGTGATTTACATTCACATGCTTGGCAACTGATTCATATTTATGACTGTCACAGTGTCCCAGGGTCATGTGAAGTAACCAAAACCTGCTGCAACCACCCAGCAGACGGGTGGAATAAAAACCAAACACCCCCACCCCACCTCCGCTGCCAATCCTCAACAGAAATGCTCACAACAATGAAAACCTCAAACAGGAGGAAGAGCGCCGCTGGGTGGGCAGGCAGGTGTCTTGCTCGGCTGTGGCTTGGGGGCCACTTTTTTCAGTGCCATTGTAACTTCGAACAGTCATTAAGCGAACTGTTGTAAGTCGAGCACTACCTGTACTTTATCACTTTTTTCCTTTTTTTTTGTCATCAAGTTTTTGACACCTTGCTAGGCGACTGGTGGTACTCGGATATTGCCATATCCTAAAAGTGGTACAATGGGTGAAAAGGTTGAAAAGCCCTGTCTTAGATGATAAAGCTGTACTATTGGACATCTGGAAATATAAATTTGGAGAAAGCTGTAATATTTGCATTTGCACACAATTCTAAGTACCCATTTGATATGTCCTCAGGACAACATAATCATCAAGAAAAAAATGTAGTCTAGATATAAACAGATAGGATTCTTATTTTTAATGAAAAATTGAATCTTTCAGATTTGCAGTTTGCTGAAATTGTACGCAGGAAAATCACGTTTTCTATATTTAAGTCCCTCCCATTCAAAAGCAGCCAAGAACCTTGTTTTCTTTATTTTCTAATTTCTTTTTTAGAAACTGCCTAGGATGGTTAGCAGCTGTTCTTTGTGAAGTGAGTTGAATCATAAGCAATGTTTCATCAGTTTCCAATTTTAAAACTCTGTAAGAAATTATGTTTTTTTTCTTCTGAAATAAGTTGGACACAAAATAGCATTGTTCAAATGGTAATATAGCTCATGAAGAGATGACTTCTGCCAGCTGGGCTGCTAGCAAGGAGGACTGTTCAGTTATCTTCTCCAGATGTTAGTTTTCCAAACTAGAAATGGCTTTTTGTAAGATTTGTTTAATGTGACCTTGCTACAAATACATAGCATTTAGAGGTAAATATTGACATTATAGAAAGTAAAAGGTTTTTTTTTTTTAGCTTCCATGATTCCTGGAATGATGAGATAGATAGGTATAGGGTTTCCTGCCTGAGCAGGGGGTTGGACTAGATGACCTCCAAGGTCCCTTCCAACTTTATTATTATTATTATTATTATTATTATTATTATTATTATTATTATTATTATTATTATTATTATTATTATTATTATTATTATTATTATACAGACAATGCAAAAGTGGCTATAGATATAGAGACAATTGCATTTGTTTGAAATGAACAAAGTCTTTGGGATCTGAAATTCCAAAGATACAGCCGACACCTATCATTATCTTCTTAATGGCAACCATTCATAAGACAGTTATTGGTATGATATAGATATTCCTACACCAGGGAGGAGAAACACTACTCTAGGCTGTAGGCAGAAATCTACAGTCTAATCTGTAGACTAGGCTGGGAAGTTTCAAAGTCCAGAAGATGGTAGCAGCAAATAATTTCAGTTTTGTTGCCAAAACCACAATCTAATTGAGGGCATAAAGTATACAATTACTTTACATGTTTATAGCTGTCAATGGGCTTATCCTTCATTAATCGAACCAATTCAACATTTTTGTTAAAAGTCTCAGAGCAATTTCATAATTTGGGGTGTGGTGGGGTCTGGGGGGATTTTTATTACATCTATAATATATGAACAAATGTAATTATAAAGTAAATGGGTATTTCAGTAATCCAAATTCTTATGAGGATAAGATAATAATGTTCTTTATTATTTCCTTTATTAATTTTAATCTTAAAAAAACTCTATTATATTTTCAGCAGTTTTCATATAGCTATTAAATAGATAGCCTCACCACCCCCAAATCAGTAAAAGATGAAAAAACTGGAAACCCTATTCTACCTTGTAATGTTATAACATTACCACCACCACCACCTGCCCCCTTTTAAAAATATTGTATAATCTTTGGTTCTAACAAAATATGTCCAGCAAGACAAGTCTCTCCTTCCCCCTACCACATATGCTTCCCCCCCCCCACACACACCCCGAGCATTCTTCTAGAAAAAGATGGGCATATAATTTTAGACTTGACTGCAAAAGAAGAATTACATGTATAATAAAACCTTGATATTGAACACTATTTTATTAAATCAAAGTAAATTCATACAGCATATTATTAGAAAATTGAATGCATGTACTCCATACACAGATCACTTCAAGTCAAAGTCAAAACAAATCGCAAACAATCTGGAGTAGTGTTATATAGGAACCAAAATGAGACATCTGAAGTGTGGGGAAATGTTCATTTACTTGAGAAACAAGAATGTGTTAAAAAGTTGATTCGGGATAACATTTCCGGTTGGAATACTATCTCACAGCGACATTTCCTTTATTTGATGCTCGCTCGTTGCATTTTTTTTTTCTGTTTGATTTCTATTATTGTGCTTATTATACTACATTTCTACTCTGACCTTTTTTTTTAGCTTTAATTTTCTAAAGGAAACAAGACTTGTGATACTTATATTCTAACTTCACAATCGTACACAACTCAGATCTTTTCTTCTGTTAAAACTGCATTGAAGAGTAGAAAAATGGTTGTTCTCTTCAGCAGATTGACTTCAAAAATATAACTATCTACCATGTCTACACAGAATGGGACATGTGTGTATGTACACAAGCAGTGTTCCTGTTAAAGACACTTTTCTGAAAATCCTCCTAAGCAGTATTTTTTTAAATGCTACTCTATTCCAAAGTCCGAAGAACATATTATTCTAGTACCCTGCAGGAATGGTATTTCTTCAGTCTACAGAAAACCTCAACAGGTGATGTTCTTTTTCTATGGACCTACAGCTACACTTTATTTCTGATTGTGGCTTGTTGCACATCTCACCAACCACAGAGCCAGTCACTGGGTTTTTTCAGCAGGCTGTTGGAGGCAGAGTTCAGTTCCAGAAGAAACAATGGGCAAATTGTGCTCAAGATGATGCTTGATCAGGTGGCTAATGCTGTCAAAGGTACGATCCTTTGTACGAATCTGAAAATAAAAAAGGACATGCAGTCATATCATTTGCCAGAGAAGGCAGTTTTGATGCTTAACTTAAGGCCAAAGCCAGATGTGACAATCCAGTCATACGAATTTGATAGGTATGGCAGTCTGGAAAAATTATAAGGTTTGGAAGATCAGGCTGGGAGAAGACCAACGAAATCAGTGAGGGATCAACTTCAAAATGAACCTATTTCTTTGGTCTATGCTTATTTCTTTAACTACCATGCTTGAGTCCACCAATCTAAATCACAATATAATAACATTATATTACAATTGTGAAAAAGACTACTTTTCATCATTTGTATATTCCTTTGCAGATTTTTAATGTCCAAGTTACTGATGTAAATAATGAGCAAATACATGGATCACATCGTGAATAGGGAGACGAAAGTCAAATTCAAGCACTGGGATATCCTTTAAAAGCTTAGATCCAAGCTTAGGAACTGTAACCTTTAACAGACTGGCCACTTTTTTGAGCAGAAAAATCAGAATCATACTTCTCCTCTCTCTATGAAGCGTCTCCCTCTTTGCAACTTCAGCCTAATACAGCCTCGTTGATGTTGTGAGAATAATCTTTGACCGTCCTCTGCTGTTCAAACATGAAAGTTACATCTATTACTTCTTGGTTCTTCATCAAGAACCAGAGACCAGCCTATAAAGTAGTAGTGAAATTTAGGGCCCATAAAAAGGGTTATGCATCCTTTTGTGGGTGCTAGGGATGATACAGACTTATCCATTCTACTTCAAATAATATAAAAAAACCTTATCAGGAAAGAATTTTTCCCTTTTTCTTTCCTGATGGGAAAGCAATTCCCGCCTAAATTAAGGTTGATGATCCAAGCCATATCAGAGTTGGCTTCCAGGGAATGTGGTTCAGTACTCAGTTTTCAGAGAAATTGGCTGGGAACCTGAAGTAGATCTGCTGGTGCATTCTTGAAATAGAGACTTATTTGTAAATAAAACTGATTCCACAGAAAGAACCAGCAGAGTCATTTCTCTTTCAGAAGAAAATGATTCCATGTACAATCTAGCTAGTTATGCTGATCACTTGAAATGAATTTGATGCATATGTCAAAATCATGTCATCTGACACCTGAATTGCCAAACTGATCCAAAGCATTACATCAGTTTATTTGCTCCCAGATTGCTTTGGAGAGGTTCAGCCACCTTTCTGGCCTTGACGAGGGCTTAAACAGGGCTGAAACTCTTCTTCCATATACGAATAAAGCTTTAGTGGAGCAAGTGGTTCGACTTTATGCTGAGTTCTCCGACATTGACTGGGGAATCGCTTCACAAACTTTGCCGTCAGACGGGAGAAAATGACATAATCTGTTATTCTCAGTGTCTGTGCTTTGCCATTCCTGTCTCTCTCTTCTCCTAGAATAGCGGTTCTCAACCTATGGGTCGTGACCCCATTTGGGGTCGATAGACCATTTCATGGGGGTCGCCAAGCAAGGCTGTCCGCCATTTTTTCCCCTTTTCCAGCGGGTGCCTTACCTCCCTTGAGCTGGGTCAGCTGGTGGTCAGCCTGCTCCATCTCTGCTGCTTGCCAGCTACGCCTCGGCCGGCGCAGGGGCCAGAACCACGCATGCGCGGCGCTCCCGAGCAGGGAAAGTGTTCGACTTACGACCGGTTGGGTAGTCCTCGACTTACGACCAGTTTAGTCCTTGACTTACGACCGGTTTAGTCCTCGACTTACGACCGGTTGGGGGTCGCGGCATTAAAAAGGTTGAGAACCACTGTCCTAGAAAGTTCTCTTAGAGTGAGAATCAACAGACAAAGAGAAACCATTCTCCTGTTGTTCTGTCACTGTTGTTGATTGAGGTAGAGAGAGAGATGTCATGGCTTTGTCTATATAGAAGAAGAAGGATATTACTGGAATAGGAAATTCCATCACCCAGTGCCCTCCAAGCTTTCCTCTTCAGACAGTCAACAGTGTCTTCAGCTAAGCCTGAGGCTTTCAGTGGAGATGGGGATGAGAAGAAGGCAAACCTTCAACCGAGAATTATGCAGGTTGCTTTGCACAGGAATACTTTTAGCAGCCAAAAAGTGGCATCTGGCTCATCAGATTCAAGCCTAAGCTCAAGGGAGGAGTCCAACCTTTATATCCAAAATCTGGAGCAAGAGACAATGATCTTATTCTTTGAAACATCTTCTCAAGTATTTGAAGTGTGTAACATACCCTTAGCTGTTCTCAAAGCTAAGCATGGCTAATGACTACAAACTATCACCCTAGGGCGTAATTTATAGTACCCTGATTGTTCCCTTCTCCAAGCTCAATCCATCTTAAAGCTTGTAGCCCAGAACTGGACAAAGTATTTAAGGCTGCATCTCACCAAGGCAGATTATGAGAGAATGATTTCTTATGATTCAGAAATGATATGAAGAGAAAAGAGATAATTGGATGCAGAATGGACTTTTGCCGTTTTTAATATCTTGGTTATTTCATATCCTTCCCAGAGGAGGATTCCTTTGCCAATAAACCACGCCAGCAAGCCCTGCCAGCCAAGTAAAGTACTGTGGTTGTCGTTGTTTTTTCTTTTTCTTTTTTAAAAAAGGTTTTATTTTAAAATTGGAATATAATATTCTTTGCAGTAGTTCCACACAACTGTGTTGGCTTTTCGATGGGCAATTTGGTGTGATTAGGCTGCCTTGTCCTTCTCTTGCTGTCTTACCTGAAACGAAGTGTAATGTCTCAAAACTTTATTGCAATGAAATCCTTGAAGTTATTAAGCTGAACCTCTGCAGCATCACTCTCCCTTAAAGATCTCTCCCCCACTGAATTGTAATCCCATTCGTCCGCCCTCATGAGGCAGTTGCAGATATTTTGATGCTTGCGGTTGAAGCTTTTATGGACTCATATCCAGCTGAACTGAATCGTATTGCCTATGAATTTCAAAATGCAAAACTGAATCAAGCCATGCAACTATTGAATCTCAGGTTTTCAATCTGAACTAAATCAGGGCTTATTTGCACACACCGAATCCTGACAAGGCTTCTGGGGTGCCATCCCTCAAGAAGCAGGACTTCTCTTCAGTGGGTTTCCTCCCAGCTGAAGCATCTCTTCAAAATTGCCCTGGCTGGTCCCTAAGATAAGATTCTCTATTGCTCTGAATATCCTAGTGCACCACTAGCAAGTAAGTGTGAATCAGTCTGCTTTAATGACGAAATTGGATAGGGCAGAAGGCTGTGTCTCTACAACCTAAAATAAAAAGGGGTCTCCTCTGTCCTTAGGATCAAATACTTACAACTCCTTCAGGGTCTACTAACAGAAGATGCTTGGCTTGTCCATTCTGTAATCCAGTGAGTACATAGGATCCTGGATTGGAGGTACTTTTCCTAACCAGAAAGTCTCCACTTTTCTTTAAGAGCTCTTCTGCTTCTTTCCTGGTCATTTCTCCTTGATACCAGGGCTCAGTGCTCAGTTCTTCAGCTACAGCTGCCCCACTTGCTCTGGAAAGGAGAGGACTGGTACATTCAAATGAGGTAGCCTTATTCAAAACAGGCCCAGGCATTTGATTCTTGAGAGCATCTTCAAAAGGGCCTGGAGAAAGAGAGGAAATAACAGAGAGAAATTAGCATCACAAGTAGCCCACTAATTATTTTATGCCATCCAAATTCCTTAATTTTTCTGTATACTGTACTCGGGAAAGATATCTGAATAAATTTCAACTACTGTTCTCTTCCACTGAGACCAAGGTGGGGGGTGTCTTAAACTAGCTTAATCTGAACCTCTGAACTCTTTTAATTACAGGTGGTCCTTGACTTACAACCGCAACTGAGCCCAAAATTTCTGTTGCTAAGCAAGACAGTTGTTCAATGAGTCTTGTCCAATTTTATGACTTTGCTTGCCGCAGTTGTTCAGTGAATCACAATGGTTGTTAAGTTAGTAACACAGTTATTAAGCGAATCTGGCTTCCCCGTTGACCTTGCTTGTCTAGAAGATCACAAAAGGGGATCACATGACCCCCCAGGACATGGCAAACATCATAAATATGAGCCAGTTGCCATGGGGAGCCAGTTGCCATGGGGATGCTGCAGTAGTCATAAGTGTAAAAAACAGTCAGAAGTCACTTTTTTTCAATGTCGTTGTAACTTTGAAAGGTCATTAAATGAATGGCTGTAAGTCGAGGACTAGTTGTAATTCAGTTGGGTAGAAAAGAAATTGTATTTAACTTTTCCCCCAAAAAACTAAATACATTTCAGTATAATTTTTATAAATAGCATAGAGTGTTTCTGTACTAATTTAGTTATAAGGTGATTAAAGAACTTTTCAGATTAAAACTTGGGCGAAAGAGAAGCTGCAGAGCGATGGAGTGATATGTAATAAAAGAATAACAGCAAGTCTACTACCTTAGCAAAGTACATAAATTTTAAAAAGCAAGAAATTCCTAAATGTTTTCAAGCACCACTTTCTGGACCCTGCCTAACAGGAAGGATAAGAACTAAGGTCCAATCTCAACCTGCATTCCAAAAGGATCTCATGATTTTTGGTATTCAAAGCCTTGAAGAGGTTTAAGAGAACTAGTCACATATACCTCTATCCATTTTCCAGCACAAGTCATTCCCCAAGGCAATTTAATCATCCAGGAGAGGCACTGAGAAGGAAGGAAGGAAGGAAGGGAGGGAGGGAGGGAGGGAGGAAGGAAGGAAGGAAGGAAGGAAGGAAGGAAGGAAGGAAGGAAGGAAGGAAGGAAGGAAGGAAGGAAGGAAGGAAGGAAGGAAGGAAGGGCTTGCTCGACAATTTCTGTCCAGTCTGCAATCTTTCTTTTTTAGAGAGGAAAGTTAGGCCTTAACTCCAGAAGACTCTCAAGGGAAGGGTTTATCATTCTAGGTTGTTAGAGTCAGGCTTCAGCATGCAGATAGCATTGATCATGCTTACTGATGACCTGTGACAGAGTCAGGATGGAGGAACATGTTTCTTGATCTCTCAGCAGTACTGAACATGGTATTCTTTTGGATCGGCTTCAGGCTTGGGAGTGGAGGCATTGTTTCACAATAGTTCTTCTGCTTTCTCTGTGACCAGGTTCAATTGAAATTGGAATATTAAATTAAATTAGAACATCGATGGAAATTGCGCACTGATTGTTTTTGTGAGTCCTAAAATGAAGATCATCGCTGCTCACAACAGCAAATGATTGGAAGTTCAATTAATCCACCCTTTCCTCCCTGCATAAGAAATGGCAGCCTTTCTGCTCAGCTCTCATTTGTTTTTCCGAAAGCAAGATAGTCAAAAATAGTCCCCCCCCCAAAAAGCAGGAGGAATGTGAAAATTTGGTTCGAAATTAGCTAATTTTTAGCAATTGTTGGGGAAGTTGAATCATGCCATAATTTATTAGCCAATATGTGTCCATTTTAATCTCTTTCCAGGATTGCACTTCTCAACCAATATAATGGTGGTTATAAAATTGTTGACAACTTAATAAAGTCTAAAAAGAAAAAAAGAAAGAAAAAGATAATCTACTTCAAAACAGATTTTTAAAAGATTGTAAGATGAATTTACTCATGTCAAAAAGATCTTTTCCTGGTCTGCTGTCTTTGGTGCTTTCTATTTTTTCAGTAAACAAATGTTCAGCCTCTGTCTGAAGAGCATGTAGAGTTTCCATATTTATATGTCGTGTATTCACATACATTGGCATCTCCTTTGATGGATCAACATTGGATTTTCCTTCTGGCATACTGTAAATGTCCAAAGACCCTGTGAAAACCAACATATCTTGATTTTAATGGGTCATTTTGCTTCAATTCTAGATATTCAATTGTCACTCTTTGTCCATTATGTAGAATTCATTCTGCATCACTGTTGACCCCTGGATCATTCCAGTATTATTTATTCCTATCCTGTGAACAATCAGGCATGTGCAGTTTTAAAAATGCTTATTTGTTTCAATATTAATTTTATAACCTTGTTTTTCTCATTTTCATATAGTAAAAGAGCATTATCTGGACACAAAAACATACAAATAGATAAGAAAAAAATGAGAAAATGTTAATAATTCTTATCCTTTGCAAGTACAGCTAAATGTAATTATTATAAATAACTTAAAGTCAGTTAATAGCAATTCATCTGAAATACCCCTGCTACTTTAGAAGAATACAATAAAAGTGACAGCAGGAAGTTTTTAATTAATTTTGGAATTATTGTTTGCTAAATAAAACTGACTTCAAGTAAACTTACAGGGGGATTTTTTACAACAGAGAAGAACTCTGCTAGATATGTTTGATAGCTAAAGAACCATAGTGTGAAAACAAAATTTAATCAGGATAAAAATAGAAAGCTCTTCTAACACAATATTCTCTAACCTGTCAATTATAAAAGCCTACATTGCTTGGATTCTCACATATATTACACTGATACATACCTATAAAATACAAGAGTGTAGCTTACCTTGCCTGCTGGGTGCCTGTTGCCGGTCTTCACCACATAGGTTTCTAATGTGCTGTCTCTGGTAGTATGTTTGCTCTTTTCCCAATGCTGAGGCAGACTAAGGCGGTAGTAAAAATATTCTTCATGCAAACGTTACTTTTAAAAACTGTAATGCATTATCAGTAGGTCTTTTTTTTATGATTGGTCCAGGTGCAATTCTACCCAAACCCAGTCTTCGTTCATTCATCATGTATGACACTATGCCTGAGCATGAATGAGTTTGCATAGGAGGATGAGAGTAATGATGACCTTCTGGAAAACTGCATTCTTTTCCTGTTTTATTAACCCCTGTAATTCTAAATGACAAAGTTGGTATATTACATCTATAAAAGGAACTCCTCCAGTTGAATCACTCTCTCCTAATGAAAAAAAGAAAGAAAGAAAGAAAGAAAGAAAGAAAGAAAGAAAGAAAGAAAGAAAGAAAGAAAGAAAGAGGGAGGGAGGGAGGGAGGGAGGGAGGGAGGGAGGAAGGAAGGAAGGAAGGAAGGAAGGAAGGAAGGAAGGAAGGAAGGAAGGAAGGAAGGAAGGAAGAAGACTATCTTAGTTAAATTAGGAGAGTGTAATGAACAAAAGTTACCAGAGCAGTGCTTTCCTTTCACAATCTTGTAAACATTAAATATTAAATAAATATTAAATATTTCTTTCATTCTATTATTAGATGCAAGATACCAGAACATTTAGAAACTCAGTTAATGTACATTGGAGAAAAACAAAACTGAACCAACGTTAATTTCAAACATGACCAAGTAGGAAAGAGATATTATCAGGTCATGTTATTATCCTTGAGTTAACTACACCAACATCTCTTTTTGATATATGGCTCACTTATGGAAACAATATAACATACCATTCTCCCCCTAAATGCTGTCTTTGTGCTACCTATTGCATTTTAAATGAAGACACTACATTCATTAATATCTGCCCAATTAGTAATGGCATTTAGGAAAGACAAAGCTCAAATACGCCTTAGACGTAAACGGGAACTCTAGTGAAGATCTTGTTCCCATGAGCAAAAGCAGTGGCAATACAGAAATAGAGATTTATGATGGGGCTGTTCTTCTGCATACAATTATACTACCATTTTGAAAAGATGTTGCAGAACTGGGCAGGGTAAAAAAAAAAAAGTTACAAGAAACCAATGAGGACAATGGGCAGCTTTCATGGATCAAATAAAAATATAGCAAGGAAGGACTTACACAATTATAGACGTGGTGCAGCTAGATATCGTATATATCATACTTGGCATAGATAAAATTAAGAGGGGCAAGAACTTCATCTTCTGTTATGATATCAAATCTTTGGATCATGCAGCTACATGGACTGGCTGGAGAGGCATTAGCAAAGTTCCTCTCTATCCTTTACTTCTTTTAGGCAGCTATTTTCAATCCATCATAGGGACTGCTTTGCTTACCTGAGCAGGATCTGAAATAGGGGGGATTTTGACCTTGACTCTTTCGTCCACTAGGCCCCCAGTGGGATGCGTTTTGTTTGGGAAATTATTGTAGTAGGGATGTTCTGCCACTTCACTGTCTTCTTCCATCCACAGTTCATCCAAACTTTGCATCCTGCAGAGAGAGGTTCTGTTAATTGCTTCTTGATTTATGTTCATTTGTTATCATAAGGAAACAATATTTTAATATGGGAATGGTTTATAAACAATTAAGTTTTTTTTTTATATCACAGAGTATCTGTGGATTGTAAAGTTTGATTGTAAAGTTCATGTTTACTGTAAAAGTCTTTCTTTTAATTATTAAGCAATTAGGACTATTTTATTGGGGTACTATGTTTCTCTGACGAATGAAGGCAAATATACGTGTCCCAGGACAGTGTTGCAGAATTCAGAGGTTTTGTCTTCCGAGATTTCAGACTCGTACTGGAACCCATCTTCAGGAAACTTCTCTCTAGCAGAAGCCCTGAAGATGGAGCCCATCTTCTCCCTGAAGATGAGCTGTAGTACAAGTCCAAAAGCTCAGAAGACAAAAATCTCTGGTCCCGGTGACCGACCCAGATTGGATCCTATTTTTCTCTGAGTTCATATCATCCTCCAAAGGACAAACATGAAGTGTGAGAAGGATGCCACTTTCTATCTTCAATAGTATGTTACAGATGGGATATTCTTTATTGGAATCAGGATTTGATGCATTGGGACTAAAAGCTCTACTACGGTACAATTTGAGTCCTCGTTCCTTTAAACCAGACATGTCAAACACAAGGCCCGGGGGCTGGATGCAGCCCGCGAAGTGGTTTCATATGGCCCGTGAAGCCATCCTGGAAACAGTGAGGGAACGGCCCCCGCTGCCTTGGCCTTGGCCCAGGCCAGCTGGGAGCCAATGTACAATTTTGTGGTGGCCATCTATGCTGAAACACATTCAGTCTTAGCTCCACAAGGCCATCTAGAAACAGCAAGGAACCAGCCCCTGCTGTGTCAGCCCCGCCCCCTGGGTGCATGCTGGAGAGGTGTCATCCTTTGTGAGGAATGAAGAAATGGACCATGCCTTGGCGCTTGCCCCGGTCCCACCCCCTTCTGCCAGAGGCTCTCAGATCTGTCCCACTCCTGCCCAGGCCCCCACAGGCACCCTTGACGTGAACGATGTAGAGCTGGCCATGCCCACCCAGTAGGCCACACCCACTCCATCCACACCCACCCAATAGGCCACACCCACCTGCCCCCCCGAGGGCAACCGCAATGCTGATGCGGCCCTCAATGGAATTGAGTTTGACACCCATGCTTTAAACAGAATACAAATAAATAAAGAACTTCTTCACTTTTACTGAAGGTTGCTCCTGTTCCTAGACTATTCAGCCCAACTTCTAGATCTACTTTGATAATTTTATAACAGTTATTCAAAGGTAATAATAACAATATAATATATCCAGTTTATGAAAACATCTAATCAGAACTCAATGATATACATATACCNCATATACCACTTTGCCCTGCCTAATTCTCAATAGAAAAGCAGGGAAATTCAGCTGTCTAAGATCTTCCGCATAAAGACATTTGCTCTGTCTCCTATCTTATGAACTTATTTGTCCCATTAAAAGGTATTCTAATAAACTTTATTGCCCCTTCAGTCTCTTAGATACCGAAAATAATCAAAATAATATCATATTATATTATGTACAGTATAACAAATATATAATATAGAGAGTCGTGATGGCACAGTAGATAGAATGCAGGATTGCAGGCTAAGTGCCAAATGCCAGGAGTTCGATCCTGACCAGCTCAAGGTTGACTCAGCCTTCCATCCTTCCGAGGTTAGTAAAATGAGGACCCAGATTGTTGGGGGCAATATGCTGGCTTTTACAAACACTTAGAGAGGGCTGAAAGTACTATGAAGTAGTATATAAGTCTAAGTACTATTGCTAAATACTGTATATAAGATAATGTATAAAAAGAGAATTTCTTCTGGCATGCTACTCAGTTATCATATCTAAACATTCTAGTTAAAACATTTGCAAGTAGATCTAATTAAAACATTTGCAGCTAGATCTAGTATTAAAATTCTTGAGTAAAATAATTCTTTGTATTCCACTAAATGAACAAATCTATGTGTATAAAAATCTCGGTAGTACTACTCACCTGCCTTGAAGTGCTGGAATCTTAGAAGGGCACTGCAAATATTGCTTAAAACGAAGTTCAAATGCTTGCCCTATGGTGCTGATTATATCCTGGGCAAGACCATCACAACATTCAAGAATATGACATGCTGGAAGTGATGAGAAAACAAGACCATTATTCAAATATATATCCAGGACAAATCTGTATTACACTTTCCAATTTTATTTGCTGACTTTTATAAATATGAAAAAAAAATCATCTAAGCCAGTGATGGTGAACCTTTTAGAGACTGAGTGCCCAAACTGCAACCCAAAACCCACTTATGCATCGTCGAGTGCCGGGTGGGTGTGGCCCATTGGGTGGGTGTGGCCCATTGGGTAGGCATGGCCCATTGGGTGGGCATGGCTGTGGTGGTAACGGCAGACTGGGTGGGACTAAAAAGTTCAATCAATCAATACCAACTTTGCAAGATCTTTTTTTTCCTGTGAGAAGTTGAAATTGACTGACTGAACCTTTTTTTTTTTTTTTGCACACGGTGGCGGAGGCCTAAAGTGAAAAGGTTTTATAAAACCCAGCTGAAGGCCTAGGAGTGGGGCAATGGTGCACGTGCCCACAGAGAGGGCTCTGAGTGCCGCCTCTGGCACCCGTGCCATAGGTTCACCACCACTGATCTAAGCAATGTTAAAGACATCATACTGGTATTGTTTTAATTCTTGATTGGGAGCAGCCCAGACTTTAATATACAATGTTTTAAATAAATAAATAAAATTTTATCTGGCCACTAAGCTATCCCTGGAAAGTAAAGCAAAAAATTTGAAGATCTGACTGGAACTATAGGGTGTTTACTCCTGATATAAGTGGTTAACATGTTTCATTTCTTTAATAAAGTTTGATACATCAATTAGTCTTTAAGGTATCTCAAGATCATGTCATAATGCACTTCTAGTCACTTCTTAGCCAAAAAGAGCTCTCAAAGAGCTCTCAAAGTCCGCAAGGAGAAGGGCGGGATATAAATATAAATAATAAATAAATAAATAAATAAATTAAGCATCATCAAAAATTCTCTTGCAGCAGTTAACTAGGTGGTTCACTGTTTCTTCAGCTTCTCTGCAAAATCTGATGATCAAAAATTCACACACAAAAGAAAACTAGCCCACCTCAACCTTTGCTGAACTCTGCCACTTCATTTGTAAAATGCTGAGAATATTGCCCTTCCTGTTGGGGGGCATAGGTTTACAGGGACATGGAGCCAATCCAGGAGCATTGCAAATGCTACATATCTAAGTATCCTCAACAAAGTTCTTATGAAAAGTTCTTGAGGGAGCAAAGTTATAAAAGTAAGTTCATCTCTCATGCAGATGCAGTGCACTCTGCTGGACTGGCTGCTAAGACAATCATTCTTCTTCCACTGCAAAGAGCCATGGTTCCATAGTGGTTATAATGCAATATTGCAGGCAAATTCTGCCAACTGCCAGCAGTTCGATTCTCTCCGGCTCAAGGTTGACTCAGCCTTCCATCCTTCCGAAGTCAGTAAAATGAGGACTCAGATTGTTGGGGGCAATATGCTGACTCTGTAAACTGCTTAAAGAGGGCTGTAAAGCACTGTGAAGCAGTACATAAGTCTAAGTGCTATTGCTATTGCTATTGCAACTCTTATTTCTAACATAAAAACATGGGAGAGTCAGTCTCAAATATTTGATTATTTTATTAATTTGGCCCTCATCATTTTGAAGGCAAGAGTGTTATAAAGGAAAGAAATATTCAAACAAATAAATACAAGCAAACTATAGCCAAATATTTGCAGGAAGCCATTAGAAATAAAATATGTGGCTCCTTGAAGAGAATCTGAACAATACGTGCTTTCAAAAGGAAGATCAGACTCAAGATAAGACATTCTTTACCTCTGTGATTAACAGGATCCTTAGCTACATATGCAACATAGTCTGTTGTATCCTGTTGGAGGAGGATAGAGAATGAAAAAGTGAAGCATCTGTCATGAATATGAAAGTTTCCTTTTGCGCTGAATTAGAGGTCAGTTGAATTTTCATCTGAATCTTTGCAACCTGGTACTTATGTCTGGATCCCATGGTGACAAGTATGTTACAAACATTGATCCAATTAGATTTTAAAACAGATACATTAATCAAGCAGGCATTCTCAACGTCTTGCACAGATTACTTTGTAAAACAACTGAGCAAATATTTAGGTTAAAAAAATCAACTGAAAGCTTAATATGCTATTTTTAAAAACTGAGCTGTATTTTTCAATATACATCAAATGAAGCTGTTACAAATTATGAAATTATTATTGGTAAATCTTGACTAAACGTCATCCGTATTGTAAGCCCCACTGAAAATATGTTCATGTATCACAAGCATGTTTAAATAAACTGAAATTTTCTTTGCCTTTCTCCCTTATCACTAAGCCACAAGGGTGTAACAATGAGCAATTTTTCCCAAGAAAGATAAGTAATAAATTTGGCACAATAACCTCTTGCATCAATAGCAAATGGTAGAAAGGAAGAGACTTACCACATCTACTCCAGATGCAAAAGAAATAGATTGCATATGATGGTTTGCTATAATCTGCAGAGTTAAGAAAACACAATGTGTGAGATACACAGAATGCTAGTTTTCCTTTTTTTTTTCCAGCTGTGTTCTTGAGCATGTAAAATCAGAAGCCCAAATTAGAAATACAAGGGTATCTATCAGTGACAAACATCATGCATCTCTACGCCTCCATTTAAAGTATATTCAAATGACAACTCTGTAAGATCTTCAAGAGACTTTCAGATGTGAACCTGGAATTTGGCAATGAAAGCCAATGCCTTGCCTTGCTTTCCCAACTTTTTTTAATTTTCATTTTTTATTCCAATATGGCTCTTAATCTACAGAGAGCCTTTCATTATTAGATACTTCCAGAATCAGTGCAAAGAGTTTACAACCCCAGCTTAATGCCTGTCCCCATGACACTGTTCTTGTCTCATCCCTAGCCATGGTTTACACAGCTGTACCCTACTGTTTTCTATACTGATAAACACCCAGTCCTTTCTCTTTAAACCACCAAAGTAGCATCACAATGCTGTGTAAAATTTGTTCTCTGGCTGAAGTTTTAGGAGTACTAAAAAGCTAAATTATTCTCTTCTTTCATTCCAATATGAGTTCTTTTGTATTTACGGCTTTAAGATCAAGTTCCAGAAAAGGTGTATATATCCATTTCTTTAAAACATTTACATTTCTCTTTTCTAACTGAAAATAAAAAAATATCTAAAGAAGGTAATCTAACAACATACAAAGCGAATATACAGCTTGAAAATAGCACAACAATAACTATGCAAAGAAATATCCCTGATCATTACCCATTTTACATCTGGAGCGAGTACGCGAAGTAGTGGTGGTGGGAACTGGAAAATGATCTCAATTAGTGGTGAGTTCAAATGGAAGAAACTGCCTCTTGAGTTATACACATCTGTTAATGTACCTGTATTTTTACTGAAACGAATTGGACTATTCAAATATTAACTTTTGTTTAACAATTGTGAGTATTAAGAACAGAAATAGCTTTCTCACAATAACCATCAGAGTTTAAAAAGAGAGAATAGGGATGATGAAATACCAACCTGCTTGCAGTCAGGAGTCATCAGATTTAAGCTGCTAGTGGATATATTCAGACTGATGTTCATTCCAGCAAACTGAAGATTGCTCTTCCCCAGAATATTAGAGAGAGCTTTACTTGGTGGCTGGAAAAGTAAAATGCATGTGTTTCAGTACTCTATCCACATTTGATACCCTCTGAATCCCGCTGAATAAATTGTCACCCCTAAAATTTAATAGTCAAGAATGTGACATTTTAATCAACAGTGTGCTGATGCTTTAAGTACTGATTTAAAAGAAAGAGAAAATACGATAAAAATGGATCTCATTTTGTACAACTGAGAAATGGAAGAAACAGTTTTAAAATTGGAATACCAACCTTTTCTGGTGAGACACCACTGTGTGAATGATTGGTGCCCAGTAATCCGGATTGCTGAGTGAGAATTTGCAGGATTGCAAATCTTAAACCCTACTTAAGATTTTTTATTATTGGTTTTCAAAAAGCATTTACAGGTAGTCCTTGACTTACAACTAAAACTGAGCCCACAATTTTTGTTACTAAGCGAGACAGTTGTTAAGTGAATTTTGCCCATTTTACAACCTTTCTGGCCACGGTTGTTAAATGAATCACTGCAGTTTTAAATTAGTAACTTGGTTGTCAAATGAATCCAGCTTCCCCACTGACTATGCTTGTCAGAAGGTCGCAAAAGGTGATCACATGACCCTGGGACGCTGCAACTGTCATAAATGTGAGCCAGTGGCCAAGCATCTGAGATGTGACTGTGGGGATGTGGCAATGGTTGTCAGTATGAAAAACAGTCACAGGTCACTTTTTTCAGTGCTGTTGTAACTTCGAATGGTCATTAAAGGAATGGTTATAAGTTGAGAACTACTTTTTAAAGAACACTTTTGTTGACTGAAGACAAATAGGTTTCTGAATAGGCCCTGCATTTTTTATGATCCTAATTGCTAGAGGGTAGGTTAATGATCATATAAATATGTGCACACACAATACACATTAAATGCATATAAATGTGCATAAATATAAATATGGCCTAGTTCAGGGATAGGCAACCTTGGCTCTTTTATGACTCGTGGACTTCAATTCCCAGAATTCTCTGAGCCAGCCATTCTGGCTCAGGAATTCTGGGAGTTGAAGTCCACAAGTCATAAAAGAGCCAAGGTTGCCTACCCCTGGCCTAGTTATTTCAGGGACCATCTATCTCCTGAAGGCTGTGTCCGTCCTGTAAAATTGGGCAGAGTATTTAGTTCGTGTTCACTTCTTTAACTCAACTTCTAACCAAACCTAACCCATTTCATTTAGTTGTTCTTTCATTCACATTGAGGTGTTTGTGAGTTTCTGAGCTAGATTCAAAGCAACTACAGTGTAGGGCAAAACATTATTTCAGTTTAGTGATAAGTAGAGATGGGTTACAAATGACTAGTTCCTACAGTTTCAAACAGTGTGATAACTGCTGTGTTGTCTAATAGATATTTTTATAACTTCTACCATCCAGGCTATTGACTATAGTAGCAAGCTCAAGAGAATTCTCAACTTTACACTTAATTCTTCAAGAGGGAAGCTATCCCACCAAGTAGATAGGTGTACCCATTCCAAACAATTGATTTCTCAAAATGTCTAAATTAAATCCATGCCTATTTTCCCTCAAACATTATCCAATGATTCCCCCAGGATATCCACAACTATTGTTGGATTAAGTTGTAGACAAGAGATAGGCATGTATCTTTTACATATTTGTAACAATGTAGACAAAATCTCCAGATTATTGGCTCCACATAGATATCACCAAGTATGCAAGATAAATTTGATTTTCTGAAGTTTGTGCACATCCTGTAAAATTGAGCAGAGTTGGCATCCTTTTGGTTCCATCAATTAAAAGTGTCAACTGATGAGGTTCATGAAATGGACTTTCTTTGTTTCTGGTTCTGCCCTTTGGTAAGAACATCTCCTCAGAGTTTCACATGGGCTATACCCTGGCCTTATCTAAACTAGCCCTTTAAATCTCATTCTTCTCCAAGGACTACAACTTAGACTGAGTGGCAGATCCCGTGTATGATGATTGGATTGCTATACTCTGCTCAATTTTACAGGATGGACACAAACTTCAGGAGATAGATGGTCCCTGAAATAACTAGGCCATATTTATATTTATTTACATTTATATGCATTTAATGTGTATTGTGTGTGCACATATTTATATGATCATTAACCCACCCTGTAGCAATTAGGATCATAAAAAAATGCAGTACCTATTCAGAAACCTATTTGTCTTCAGTCAAAAAAAGTAATAAGAATGTTAACAAATATAATAAACCACCTTTGTTAAAATAATAAACCAGGAGAAATCTGAAATGCTAGAGATGAAACCTTAATACAAAACATAGATCAATGGAAGAACATTTTGTAAAGAGGAAAGTTCACACATGCTGTGACAATTTTCTATTTCTGTTTAGGGTTTTAATACAGCTCTCACTTTACATGTTTAATGTTCCTAACTGCCTCAAACCCATTGTGCTTAATACAATCTGAACTAGAACAGCAGATAAATAATTATATAGGTACATGTAAATTAGTAGCAATGTTTGAACTGAAGTATCCATGAGTTACTTTATCCATGTAAAGAAAACTAGGAGCTCTATCATGTCTCAATGCTAAGATAGATACACACATTGAATGTACCCTAGCACAACACTTCTTGATACAAAAATATCATGCCTGTGAAAAGCTAAAAATTACATAGAAAGATATTCTACTTTGTCTTTTTCTTAACGTAGTTCCATCTGCAATAGAGCATTTGGTAAAAAAAAGAACTGTGTGATCTATTAAAATAATACTCTCCTTAGAGCATTAACTAATATTAATCTATAAAATAGGATCAAGAGTAGCTTCGGGATAGGTAATTTTATGATATTCAGGTTAGGGCTACCAAGTTTGGGATGCCCCTAGACAGCTGCTAGGTTGTTAAATGGCAAGACTTAAAATTTTCTGTGTCTCTTCACAGTCATCTAGTAGCCATCTGGACTGAAAACCAATTTGGTCTAATGGTTAATCTTTAACTCTGGTTAATTCCTGTTAATACACCGAGCAAGGAACAATAAGATGCAAGTTCCAGTCCTACTTTAGGTGTAGAACCCAACTATGTACTTTGGGGTGGTTTCAATCTTAGGAAGAAGGCAGTAGCAAGCCACTTCCAAAGATGTTGCCGAGAAAATTGAATGAATTTATCCAAGTAGTCACCAGAAGTCAAAATATAAATCTAAATAAAAAGTTAATTCTTCTTCCCCTATCCTGCTTAAGTTCTTATACAGTATATGTTTGTACAAAAAACTAAACATAAACATACTTAGTGCTGATCAATTATTCGTATCCCATTATCTTGGGTAGAAGCAATATAAATTAATAAAGAAACAAGATAGCAGTTCCATTTGATGGTGAAGATGTTCTAGGACTGAAAAGACTCAAGTTCATGTCTCCACAGAAGCTGACTGGTTAATTTTGGGACATTTTTCATAGATAAAATTGAAGAAGGACGTGATGGTTGGACAACAATATAGTGGTAATAAATAAGTAATTAAGATTACTACCTTTCTTTTTTTAAAAGCTCCTTTGGTTCCTGGCACAGCTTCACAAACAAGGCCAATTGCTTCTCTAAAAAACATGAAATATGATGTCAAAAGCAAATGCTTATGCTATTTTTCTTCATTAATTTTTACGAACAGTGCTTGAAAATCTAAATTGGTTCCTTATGACATTTATGTATATAAGAATCTGCAGAAAAATCTGAAGTTAAATTAGCATTGTATGATATTAGGCAGTTGAAATATTGTATATTTTGACAATGTCATAGATTGCATTAATTGTGCTAATAGGAACAACTGGATGACTCAAACAGCAAATTCTCCTAGAGGAATGTGAGTTAATAGCATAATATATATTTTAATGCATGGATTTTCCTTCTACCTGAAATATATTTTGGGGTTTTCTGGAGTCAATGAGATTGATTTTAGATTAGATGTAACAGGCACTTCAATACCTAAAACATTTATTATGAACATTTATTAAGAATCAATGCAAATAGTCTGAATAAATACACGGCAAACTCTGCCAACTCTTAATTCTCATTTTCTTGCAGTTTTTGGTTTAAATGCACACAAGCACATAAACATACACCAAAACAGATCACAATCCTTCACAGTCAAATCGGGTCAAATAAACCCTTATTCAATATGATGTCAAGGTCATTTGAGTGCTCTGCTGCAGAAAAAGACTTCTCAGTATTAACATTTATTTCTGTTTTAGAGTGACTGTTAAGATTATTAGTTGTATGCTAATCTATGATTGAAATAAAATAAAATGAAATATAATGTAAAGTAAAAAATTAGTGTTGAATAGCCTTCATAGTTCCATAGACAAAAAAGGGTTGTTGGTAGTGTGCTATAGACACAGGAAGACTAGGGCTGACGCAGAATAAACCCTGATGTCGAATGACCACATACAAGAATCAGGAACTCAGCCCTACCTCCCCCAGAAATTATTTTGTTTAGCATGGTTTTAGAGAGGATTTCATTACATGTGTGATGTATCCAAAGCCTTTTTCAGGAGTACAGTTGCTTTTGTGTTTTTCATCTACAATATTGCCAAGACAGTATTTTTTTATTACTATCAGGAACTCTTTGGGAAATTCTATGATTGTTGAAAGGAAATATTACATAATACAGAAGAGACTATGTTTCTGGAAACTTGACCATAAGATATTTAGGGCTTTCAAAATAATTTAGTGCCTGGGAGAAGGCTTAAGAATAGACCAGAAGTCTGTGAAGATGACACATGAAGCAGATTCCCTAAATTGGATTCTGTTTCAGCAGCTGCACAATCGTTGTTTCATAGGGCATGACATAATAGTTGCTAGCATTCTTTCCTCGGCTAGCTGCTCCCTATGCTGAGACAGGAACTGCAAGGATTCTATAAGAAAGAAAGAACACAGAATTCTGGGAGTTTTGTTTGTTTGTTTCTGGGCAAAGCAGGAACAAGGTGACTTCTTTATACCCAGCATAGAAAAAATAACAGATAATCAGGAGGAACGATTGGCACCTCTTATCCTTTCTGCCTATGGCAACAAATCAGATGATAAAAATCCAGATTAGCCTAGCAGAAGTAAATTATTGTTTAAAAAAATAGCAAAAGGAAAAGTGGGAAAGACTGAGTGGGTTATAAATAGAAAAATATAAAAAGCAACTTCTTATTCACATTCCCTGAATGCAACAAGATGACTGCCCCATAAAACCCTTATCTGGAAACACCAGATTATCAAAATCTGCTTAAAAGTGCTTAAAAAAAGTATGGCAAAAATGGGGTTAAATGCTGGCTTGCATTTGTTAACCCCTTTGAAGCAATGGATAAGCCTTCTCCAACTTGGTGCTGTCTTCATCTGAAGACCATTGGACTTCTATTTCCTGATTTCCACAGCTGACAAGCATTCCCAGAAGAGAATCTGTTGGGGAAAAGAGGTCCCTAATTCTTTCGTGAATAAGTGTTTATGATATATCTTGCTTTCTTGATCAAAACTGACCACTGGACCAGAAAAGGATTTCCAACCAATTACTAATACGGCTATTGGAGCAATGAAGGTAGAACAATGCATAAGTAAGATCTCTCCTTCTTTCTCTCCTTCTTCTTTATCCATCCCTTATATATTATGGCATATGTCTAGCTATTTATTCACATATAATGATGATTTTTTAAGACAAGTTCAAACCTAACTTAATGCCCTCAAAAATTGGGTTCAAAATATTAAATCAGATATTATTAATAAGCTACTGTAATAATTCTTAAAACTGATTTACTTAGGTAGCATTATGTACTTTTCAATACATACAAGGCAATACGGAAATAAACCTCCATTTGGCTATCAATGACAGACACTCGAAGATACAGAACTTTTATTATACACATTAGAAAACTACAACATTACTTGACTTTTTGACATAATCGCCATTCAAATTGAGACACTTGTCATAACATCTTACAAGGTTTGAAATTCCTTAGTAGTAGTTACTTGGTGCCAAATCTGTGCTATGAGGGGGTGATCAAAAACATCCCAACGGAACTGCTTCAAAAGTTTTTGGATGAGTCTAGCGGTGTGTGGGCGAGCATTATCGTGAACCAACATCACACCGGAAGTCAGCTTCTCCCGACGCTTGTTATGGATGGCTTGTCCGAGTTTTCGTAACGTTTCACAGTAGACTTCTGAACTGATGGTCTAACCACACTCCATGAACTTCACTAGCAGAACTCCTTTGGCATCTTCACATTTGGTGGGATTTTCTATGGCACCATTTCCAATGTGGTGTTGGTTCACGATAATGCTCGCCCGCACACCACTAGACGCACCCAAGAACCTTTGATGCAGTTCCATTGGGATGTTTTTGATCACCTCCCCATAGCACAGATTTAGCATCAAGCGACTACTACTAAGGAATGTCAAACCTTGTAAGACATTATGACAAGTGCCTCAATTTGAATGGTGATTATGTCAAAAAGTCAAGTAATGTTGTAGTTTTCTAATGTGTATAATAAAAGTTCTGTATCTGCGAGTGTCTGTAATTGATAGCCAAACGGAGATTTATTTCCAAATTGCCCTCGTATATTCACAATGGACCCAGTGTCTGTTATTCAATATTACCTTAGTTTCACCTTACTATTTAGGAAACCTATTGCTTTCCCCAAGTGACAGACACCAAGGCTTTTCCACAGAAATTATTATATCCTCCAGATTTATAACAGCACATCCTCACTTTCAAATATATATACTCTTGTGGATTTATAGAATCAATCACAGATTTGAAACTATTCAGAAGTTGTATTGAAAAAATGTTCTGAGAAATGGTGCAAATGTTGTTTGTCCATCGATTTCGATGAAGACCTTGACATCTTGGGTCAAGATGTCAAGACTTGCGCGTGGATTGGATTAAAGTGAGGGAGAGGTGCGCATAGTCAGCCTCACTCTCTCTCTTCCCAGATTCCATCTTGTTCCAATGGCAGGACAAAAGTCGAGACAGCTGGAGATGGGCTGGGCGCAGTGGTTGACCAGGGCGTCTTTCGTGTCTTGCCGTGCTCTCAGCGTACCACATCGCTTGCAGAAAACTGCCTTCATGACCGTTGGTCCTATTTTAATAGGTCTCATATGCTCAATCCGCCAGAGTCTGTCTTCACATGCTCAGGATAGACAAATCCTTTGCTCACCGAATGTCAAAGACACAACGGCTACTCTCGACCTGGTTTGGCCAGCCTGTCGAAGTTGTTGTTTTACATTGAAAACATAGATCCAAAATTTACAGCAGTATGCTTTAAAGATTAGACTCAAACAATATACTAGTTACAATATTTCCTGCCTTAAAAAACATTTCACACGACAAAATAAGTCAAATAAAACAATCTTAACTTGACATACTGTGTTATTTATTTGAAATTTTGTACATAAAGCAGCCTTTTTTAGCTTAGGACATTTTCCCATAGCTCAAATAAAACACTGAGCTGCATTTCACAAAAGCTTATTGCTGTTAATAAATTTGTTAGTCAGCAGAAGAATCCCACCAGACTCCTGTTTTTTTGCAACATAGACTAACACAACTCTCCTCCTATTATATTTCTTCTGTGAGAAAGCCAAAAAGTAAAGCTGCGCAGGGTATATTCTCCCCACGGTCAATTTCAGTTGCTAGCTCATAGAGTTGATTACCGTCTGCACTCTTCTCAATATCTCCAAGTGGCTGGAAAATCACCTACCAATCACCGCATTTCAGATAGTTAGATCTGTAGGATTAGTCAGAACAACAGTGGACAGGCCCAATGAAGGGATCCTGCAAAGCCATCGCCCTCCATCTCCCTTTCTGTCTCTCTCTGCTGCTTCACTGTGCAACTCTTAAACATGGAGCTTAGTGCTCTTGGTGCAAAACTCATGTTCAAAAGAATCCCAAACAAGATGTGGAGATAGTGGGCATGAGGTTGTGTTACAAAGTGGCTTGTTTCATCCTTCATCTTTTCCCTACAAACCCCACAACCACTGCTGCTCCACTGCTAGGTCTCTGAGTTGGAGATCAGCTCATAGACCTGGTGAGTACAGAGGAAGCAGGTGTTTGGACTTCCTGCTAGCCGAAGTAGAATAGTCCCTGAAGACACTGTCCAAGAATATGTCAATCATTTATATGCCATAAATAATTAATTTTATATGCTATATGGTATGGCCATAAATAGTTTTATATTTTCAGTATTTTAAGGCAGAGAAGATATCTGAAAACATTTGTTATGTGTACAAACTTACATATAATTATCAGCAGCAGCAGCAGCCTGCACTCTGCACTATTGCTCTTGTCTCCTTCGAGTGAATTGTACCTGATTCAAAATAAAGGAATGGGAATGTACGTAGAACATATCATCTTACCTTGTAATCTGTGTTCTAGTATTAAAATCCAGAGATTTCATGGACCGCAAGACCTCTATACATCCCAAATACTACAAAGAGAAAAAAGTGTGTGTATAAGTATAACTGAAATAAACTTTGTCTAGCATAATCCATACTCACACTTTGATAGATGGAGGTTGTTGGTTTTATTTATATCTCTTTTTCAACAAATAGTCCATCAAAATGGCTTGCTAAGGATGTATAGTAAATCCCAACACCCCCTTTCTTCTTATTATTTTTTTCACTTATATATACAGCAGCAATCCTTTAAAAAAAATTGGAACCCTCTTTCTGTTTTTTCCTGTTAGGTTAGAAGCCACACAAAAGGCCCTTTCACTAGCATGTGTGCACATTTTTAAGCATACTATTATTAGTCTAGGTTGCATAGTTAGTTAATGCAGCAGAAAGTCCCTTATGCTTATAATTTAATTTGATGCTACTAGTAAGTGCATAATAGCTGTGCAAGAAAAGAATGAGTTAGAAAATTTGCATACACGATATCATTTGTGTGTACTGTGGGAAGATATATCCTGTGCCGCATGCATGACCCTCAAATTGTGAAAGGCATCAGAGGCTATGCAGACTGTTTCAGGTTCTTTTCATGAGTGTTTATACACCATCACACGTGCACGAGAATTTAGATTTGACGGTAAAAAGGCTAACTGGCTATTGACAATTCGACAGCTGTGTAGATATATTTAAATTAGACTAAGTGATCATAATAAGGTCTGGCCAATCTCTCCTGTCTTTGCTGGAAAAGAAATAGAAGGCAGCTGTAAATTTCCTGGCCACAAACATCTTTTTCCTGGTCCAGATATTTCAGTCAGTAAACAACTTTGGGCCAGTTGCTGGGATGCTGAATATAGAGGGGTAATGGTTGGAATTCAACTTTGGATGCACCAGTTTTCTGCACCAATAAATCTATTGACCATTGGGGGCAATAGATGCAGACATAATTGGCAGAGGGACTCAGCACTTTTGTCTTCTTTCTTTGTCTAAAAGACTTGCTTTGTATTTTTTTTGTAATGGACCTTCTATGGATTATGCTAAAATTTGGGGGGGGGGTCATCTCTTCCTTCCTCTCTCTGCAACCAGCTTTGGTCACCACACTATAAAAAAGATGTTGAGACTCTAGAAAAAGTGCAGAGAAGAGCAACAAAGATGATTAGGGAACTGGAGGCTAAAATATATGACGAACAGTTACAGGAACTGGGCAGGGCTAGTCTAGTGAAGAGAAGGACCAGGGGAGACATGATAGCAGTGTTCCAATATATGAGGGGCTGTCACAGAGAGGAGGAGATCAGCCTATTTTCCAAAGCACCCGAAGGCCAGACAAGGAATAATGGATGGAAACTGATCAAGGACAGATTCACCCTAGAAATAAGAAGAAATTTTCTGACAGTGAGAACAATTAACCAATGGAACAGTTTGCCTTCAGAAGTTGTGGGAACTTCATCACTGGAAGCTTTCGAGAAGAGACTGCCATCTGTCAGAAATAGTGTCGGGTCTCCTGCTTGGGTGGGGGGTTGGACTAGATCAGTGATGGCGAACCTTTTAGAGACCGAGTGCCCAAACTGCAACCCAAAACCCACTTATGTATCATTGGGTGCTGAGTGGCCGTGGCCCATTGGGTGGGCGTGGCCTATTGGCTTCGGTGGTAACAGCAGACTGGGTGGGACTAAAAAGTTCAATCAATCAATTCCAACTTTGCGAGATTTTTTTTTTTCCCAGATAAGTTGAAATTGATTGATTGATTGAACCTTTTTTTTTTTTTTTTGCACATGGTGGCGGAGGCCTAAAGCGAAAAGGTTTTATAAAACCCAGCTGAAGGCCTAGGACTGGAGCAATGGTGCGCGTGTCCACAGAGAGGGCTAGGTTCGCCACCACGGGACTAGATGATCTACAAGGTCCCTTCCAACTCTGTTATTTTCTTCTTTCATTTCAGACTTCCTTCCCTTCTGACTTGAACCTGTGCAATTTAATGGCTAATCTGACCACTCTTTCCCCATACCAGAGGTGAGCATACAATACAGGCTGTTATTGGTAAACAGACCTGAGTAGCTTAGGTTTGCCATTGTGTCCCTTCCTAGGGCTGAGAAAAAGTGACTATTCCAAAACCCAGCCCTCCTTATTTACTTTAGATTTGAGCGAGGCTTTAAACTGATTCAAACAAAGGTGTATAGAGTCACACGTGTACACAAACACGCTTTTTATAGCATTTATGATTTCAACTTGCATAGACGGTAAATACATTTACCTGAGCGGTTCAGCATGTTATATAAATCAATTAGAAATATAGATATTCCTGAGTAACATTCACAAATAATCTGACATTTTGGGTTATTGGGGGAGTCCTGGAATTTTAAGGAAGCAAGATAGAATGAGTACTGATACTTATGAACCTGGCCATCAATAAATGCCATAAGAAAGTGTGCGTGTATAAAAATACATAAAATTGTCTTGCTGAAGAAATAAAAATGATTATGTAGAAGTCTGCAAAAATGATGACTGGGATAGGAAAAAACATGCAAAGAGCAGGTACTAAATTCTCTAAGAAATTCGCCACATCCCCAAATATGAGATAGGGCCTGAACAAAATGCAATTTATATAGGTACTATTCTTGCATTTTTTAAATCATGAAAATAGCATTTTCATAGCTGCTTCTAAAGCTAGCACCAAACTCCTCCCCTAAGTTTGGTAGTTTGCCAGTCAGCCAATATTCTAAAAATAAGCTTGCAGAATTAGACATTTCTTATATAGGCACATTTAAATTCATGCCTGTCTGAATGCAATCTGTTTCACTACGGCTGCTTAATACTTTTAGCTGGGAAAAATAAGCCTGTTTTTGAGAACTTGCCAATAGTTATTCATGTTGAACTGATTATGTGTATAGTAATGTCATAAAACAGAACTGGCTTCATAAAAAAAAATCCAGGATATTAATTGCATATGAATAAGGGCTAAGAATACGTTTTGTTTCAGGTATTTTTATGTGTGAAGCATCAGTGTGTGAAGCTCTATAAATATTCTGTTACATTTGATTGAAATTTATTTTTAAGATAGCAGAACTCTGCATGATTGCATTTTATTATTCTTAGATTTTCGAATCAAAATTACAATATAAATAGATAAAATTTAATTACTTAAACAGAAGAATTAAAGAGAAACTTTAAGTTTTAATATATTAAAAATAGAAAAAAATAAACAGAAAGAATTAATTCCATTATTGAAAATATATAATAGCTCTTACCCATTTGGGAAAGTAATAACAGAGAACAGAGGCAGATACAGTAGTAGTTATGCAAGTCAGGTTCACAGTTGGATTTTCTAAAACACAGAAATAAAATTAAACTAAAAATGAAAAAGTGGGGTTGAAGGCTACACCCACTGATGTGATATTAGGATATACCTCCTCTGCCTTTGCAGGGATATCCGCAGGAAGAAGTCAAAAAAGTCTCACCATGCACATAAAGTCATTTTGACTGTTTTAACTCCTACCCCACCCAGATGCTCTGGCCCTTGGTCACCAAACTAAAAAAACCCCCCAAAAAACTTCATTTACTCAAAATGTGCACTCAAGCCTTTACTGAATTATTATAAGAGCTAAGAATTATCTATACTGACCTGAGAACCTTTTGGGAAGAGTAGCATAAAACATAATAATCTACTCATGATAATATTTTGGTGAGTAGCAACACAAGACCTATTAAAGTTGATCTCTTTTCCTCCTAAGTCTTTATTTTCCTGATCTTAGATCCCATTCCAATAAGCATGCTTTTATCATTATTAATTTTATATTACAGGTGGTCCTTGAATTGTGGCCATAATTATGAGTGGAACTTCCATTGTTAAACCTTTTTGATCATCGAGTCATGCCCAGTCTTATGACCTTTTTTGGGGGGGGCTGTGCTCATTAATCTGGCTTTCCCATATTACCTTTGTCAGAAAACCCTCAGGGAAAGACGCGAATGGCGATCATGTGAGACCAGGACATTGCAACCACGGTAAATACATGCTGGTTGCCGAGTGCGTGAATCACAATCATGAGACTGCAAGGACTCTGATGGGGATAACTGCAAGGACCACTTACGAGTCACCTTTTTCAACACCGTTATAACTTCGAACCGTCGTAAAACGAATAGTCGCAAGTTGAGGACTACTGGTATGTTGTACAGTTTTATTTGGGGCTATCTTCCTGATGAGAAAATAACAATTATTTTACAGTATCACTATCTCAGTGGTCTTCATTATTGCTGCAAATCTGTTGTGGAGTTGGAGGGAAGAGTTAAGAGACTGGCTAGTCTGGAATCACGAAAGGGGAGGAAGCAACAGAAAGCAGACACCCTCTCCAAACCTTGGAATGCTTACCGAGTTGTTCTGTAGTGAGTGCAGCTGGTCTGGCGAGATTTTTGTAAATAGGCAAGTGGCAATAAAAATACTGTCCTGATCAATTTTTAGTGTCGTTCTGGTTCCTTCTGCCTGACAAAAATCTAATGAAATAGAACAGAAAATATCCCTATATGCTCGCTAGTGTATTCCAAAAATAAAGAAAAAAGCAGCTAAGATTTCTTAACCCTTAATATCATTTGCACAGATGCAGAATTTTACTAAATGTGCGATCACAAATATTAATATTTCTAATATATACTTCTCATTAATGTATGTAGTGAATATGCTTTTATTTCCAGATGAAAACTATGGAAAGCAAACATAATTTGATAAGAAATGGTTCAGAAAATGTAAATACCCAGAGCAGAGTCCAGGAGTAAGATGTTTCGATAAATCCTCCTTGAACTAATCAAAATTGTGTTTTAATGCTCAGAAATTCCTCATTAATACTAAGAAAGAATCATACTACATTTTATTTGTGAAGTCAGCTGCAATCTAATTCTAGAGCAGCTCTCAAATTAAAATATTTTGCCTTATGCCTTTTTTTCTAATTGTGTTGCACTAATTGTGTTCGTTATTTATGTCTTTGCAATAATTAAAAATACCATTGTATAAATTAAAGGAATTGTTATCATCATATTTTTAATAATTTCCTATAGC